TATCAGAATTTGGCTTATTCACAATTTAGGCTCTGGCCGCCGGCTAACAAGTCCGATCAGGCTCATTTTTTGTTTACGCACTTCTATGAGTATGCACCCCTTGGTATATGCTTTAGATAGGTACCCTTAGGGTACCGAACATTTATTTCGAATTTTTCAGGTCAAGGCCAGGTCATCCTAGGTCACGGAAATTTTATATCATGTATCGGTCACGTGACGCATGTTTAATGGTCCATTTAACTCATAGGTTTCGGAAACTAGGTATCGTCTGAGTCATTTGAGGTCATTTTCAGTCGCAGTTAGCTGAGGTCAGGTCACTAATTCAAGTAAAAAAGGTCAAATTTTGAAAATGAAAGTTTTCAACAAAACAGGTGACTATCAGATGCTGTTTGAGCTCAGGAACACGATGGTGTTATTTATATCCTGCACCTACGATGTCAAAAACGCACTGAAAAATGGATTTGAAAAATAGAAAATTGTGAAATTTTGACTAGGAATGCGTACCTATAACTCAGCAATTCCTGAGGATATTGCGCACCTGGGTGACCGTCACGGCACGTGTCACGTGCTAATTCAAGGGCATCAAAATCGCTCCACAACGTCGGAAGGAAATTTTACCAGTATTACTAATTAATTGTTGGGTCGAGTGCTTATAACAGTGACCTGCACACCTCATTTTGGATTTGATCCGACAAGTGAATGTTATTCAATATGCATACCTATCCGCCGATGCAGTGGCGTAACATTCGACATGGTGATCGCCCTGATCGGTACCTATCTCTGTGGTGCATTCATTTACTCGTCTCCCTGCCGCGGAGACCCCGACCCGCTGCCTGCCCGCCCTCCCGTCCCATTTCACACTGCCGTTTACCTGTCTCCTTGCCGAAGAGACTCGCCGCCCGTCCTCCCGCCCCTGCCGGCGCTGCTGTCGTTGTTGTCGTCGTCGTCGCAAGTACAGCGGCTGTGGCGGCGAAGGCTATGGCGCCTGCCAGCGCCGCAAACCCGGCCAGCGAGCCGAGCATGCCGCCGTAGCAGTCGCACTCCTCCAGCATGCTGCGTCCGCCGGCCGCCGGCCGCGGCAGCGAGACCGGGCTGCGGGCCGCCTCAGCCAGCCGGCCGGCCGCGCCGCAGGTGACACTCAGCAGGCGGTCCGGGTCGACCAGTGCCACCCGCAGCGCCGCCCGCAGCCGGGGCGGCACCAGCGCGGCCAGCGGCGTCGCCTGCTGGCTGCGACCGGTGCCGCCGCTGGCCAGCTGCTGCACCAGCGCGGCGCCCAGCGCACCCAGCGCCGCGCCACTGGTCGCCAGCCCCAGCAGACTGAGCACCGAACAGTCGCAGCCGGCGCGCGGAGACACGGCAGCGCCTTCTGACGGTGCCGGGTGAGGTCGCTGGGCGTCTCCTGGCCCAGACTGACCTCTGCCCGACCGCTGTGCTGCGCCACTCTTGTCCTGGAGCTGGCCGTCGGCTCTGCTACGTTCCCAGCGGACTGCACGCTTTAGTCTGTGTGATCTGATGCCGTAACGAGGGCGGTACTGAGGACGTGGGCTTCTTTGCACACTAAGTTCAAAGGCTCTATTGATTTCATAATTGTTAGAGCCGACTAATTCACGGAACTGATCACTGCCCGTACCCTCATGGGATACTTTTAGTTCACTGATGGCATGAGTGTCCGTTCTACAAGACTGAGTGTGATAACGCACTGTCAGGTGACTACTCGACGGCGCTGAGGACTCTCGAGAGTGCTGGATTGACGGTGCCTGCAAGAAGCCGGCACCGCGTGTCAGCCGCTCACTCTCCGCCCGCACCGAATGGCAGCAGCACTGCACTGAGAGCGCGACCAGCAGAAGGCGGCACAGACGGCGCGCACCATGACCTCATGGTGGTCACTCGGCGAGCGGCGCACTGGCCGGGAGCGCGCTCACTCCGCTCCGCAGAGCACCACGGCACCGAGTCGCCAGCGCTCCGCTCTCGGACGACAGGGTCGTGACGACAAGCGCCGCGCACAACGATCCGCTCAGTCCCGGGTGAGCTGCCGCCCGCACCGATCCTGGCGCGCGGAGCGGGGACACGGGACTGACGCTCCGCTGCCGCCGGAACGCCCACTCCTCGCCAGTGACGTCCTACTAACGGCACGGCACCCAGCGCCGCCGCACTTTAGACGCCCCACTGCAGCTGCAGCTATGAGCGGGTCAAGTAGCCCGTCGCCAGTTCCATGATGTGGTCTGATGACTTTACGCCACTGCTGGGTGACGCGTGCCTAACGCCTCCTCTATATCTTTTCCAAGCGGGTTACTGAAAAACCGAGCGACGAAGAGACGAGGTTTTTTTTCTGGAACACACGGGGAAAATGTATCCGATCTTCCACGAGTGAGCAATGGAAAATCCTCCGACCCTTATATGTAGAGATTTATTCATACTTTTTTAAAATGTTATATTCAAATGTTTTTATTTATGAAAACGTTTCGAGCTGTTTGTTTTAATTCATACATAAAGTGAGCCATAAAGATTTAGGTACCCATCGAAAATCAACGCGCCCGAGACACGAGGGCACTATGGCACGCGCCCGCCGCACAATCTTTTCTCTTATTTTCCTCGATCACTCATGTTAGAACGATGCTGCGCCGTATGTCATTTGCGGTGTCTCAAGGACTAAGTAGACTGGCTTTTTTTGCAGGATATATCAGTTGACTAGGCCCATGGGGCTGCTGGGATAAATTGTGCCCAACATTTTTTAGGCCAAAGAGTGTTCAGCATTCAGCAGCCAACACCCAATGCCCAATGGTGATTCCTGAATTTCAGGAGCGGCGTATGTGCGTTGAGACGACCTCGCATTTCATTAGCGTAGCAAAGACAGTGGACGAGCAAATACAGAATGAGCTACACTGTGTCGCGGAGGCACCGAAGGCGAGAGACAGGTCCGAACGGGCCGAGAGGTGTATTCCGAATGAGTACAGTTTGTCAGCGTCGGTGTCGGCGCAGAGCAGCGGTGATTACAGGATACCGACCGGTCCACCGACCAAGGGCTATATTTGGGTCGGCGGCCGGGCTATGACGCGTTGGGGCGCGTCTCCGAATGACAGCGGGTCTCGAACGTGTGTGCTCTTTACCACGATATAAGAGAAGGGAATCGGTCCCACAATTGCCAGGACTGGTCATTGGATACAAATTTACGATACATAAGTATGCAAAAGATGGCCTACCTATGCCAGTCCATTTGGAAATAAGGTGAATTTATCGATGAGTAATTATTTATGGCGCACCCTGTAAGTCTCAATACAACAACCTTCGGTGCTTCGGTTATTGACCCACCATCACTTGAATGCTTGAAACCCTCGAGAGTCGAGACTCCATCTTTGCATCTCGGAGGGATGCAAAAATAACATATTCTTATCTTTGCATATCAGAGGAGTGCAAAATAGAAATATCCTTGCACTGTAGACCCAATGGGAAAGAAACCTCGAAAGATGCTAATTTCGAAACGAGAAATGGAATAATATCTTTGCTTATGGTGGTCACTGAACATGATTGGGCCGTAAAAGCTCCTGATTAGTGCAAACTGCAAATATCAGCCAAAGCTACACAACTGCTATTTTATTCCAAAACCCCATGTCAAAATTGGTATATTTCTTATAACGGTTACAATAGGTCCCATGGTCCAAATCAAATGGATTTTCGTGCATAAATTACACTCTAGTCGACGATGATTCATGTATCCTTCTATCTGCAGTCAAAGATAGGTATACATCGACAGCACGATAATGACAGGTAATGATATAAATTTGTTAAATGACATGGGTTTTATCAATGACGTTTTAAGTACGGCTCTCCAGGTATTAAGTGGTTGGTTGCCAACATCACAATAAGCGATTTGCATTGATGAATACGCCTAGGGGAGAGCGGGGCCAGTTGAACCACTTTTTATATAATGACATGCACAGCGAGATCTAGTTGTCATATCGAAAAATGCACAATGCCATGAAAAAATATGCTCTTTTGGCTTTATTTTAAGATGTGTAAAATTATGTTTCAAACATATTTTGCTGCCAAACGCATGCTTATAAAACAGCTCTACGCCCGTTTCAAATGACCCCGATGCGAGGGTCAATTGAACCAGCCCATGGGGTCAATTGCACTTATCCTTAACAATGGGATGTTTTCCTCTTTAAGGTTACTTTCTTAAGGAGATATTTTGTCCGGTTTACTTTTCCAAATGCTACATTCAATAGGTCGTTGGAAAGCTAAAAGTGCAAAGTTCCTCAAAATAGGTGACATAAAGTACATAGACTATGGTAAAATAGGCGGGTGAGAAAAATGAGAAATATCTCAGGATATAGTGTGCTTTCAAGCAAGAGGCTGGAGAAAAGGGGGTCAACAATTGAGCTCTATTAAACTACTATTTCAGTTTAAAAGCTCATTTCAAAGGTGGACTATTTCCTTTAATGTTTACAGCCCCTAAACAATAACCATTGCAAAGGTCACCGGGGTCCATTGAACCGGCCTGTGGCCCTGTTTCAGCTGACCCTCAGAGAAGCGTTTCAATTGACCCCATCCGCTCCCGCCATCTCGCACGCGCCGTAAAGCACATGTCAAACGAGCTGGAGGGACGGCAGCATGCTGAATGAAGGGCCAAATAAGGTGTTATTCCGGAGCCAGGAGTTCTTCTTTCAGCAAACAAAGATATATGAGATATCACAAAATATTCATAAGAACGATTTCTCCCAAACGCCGCTCAAAAACACAAAAACAAGTGTTAACCCGCGCCCTGATGGGGGGCCATTTTGGCCCCCCCTGTGGTTTTTCTTAAATAGCGAGAAAACGGCGGCGCGCAGCGCCGCCAAATTTTGGGTACCTTACCGGACTTCAATTTGACACCTTCACACAAAATTTCAAGTCACAGGTCACCTCAGGTCAGGAGTTATTGAGGTCAAACTGAGGTCATGTTCGAGTAAAAATGAGCAAAAAAATGACATCTTGAAACGCTCACCAATTCTACAGTTAACAAGCAATTTTAAAGTTCTTTATGTGGTTGTGTAGAGAAAAGACGGCGCTACAAAACTGCTATCTCGGATTTTCGAAATTTTTGGATTTTGACCCCCAAAAATCAAAAAAATTGATTTTTTTTAGAAAAACTCAAAACAATTCCAAAATTTTTTCGAATTTCGAAAAAACCGGAATATATGAGATAGTCCCTGCGCTCTTCGATATACATACCAAATTTTAGATCGATAACTCTTTTTTTTGGCCAAGTTATAGCGAAAAAACTGTTAAAAATTGATAACGTCAAATTTTTGAACTCAATTTTTAGCAATTCTAGACCTCGTAGCGCAAAACGGAGACCACCATTGAACTCCCCGTGACGAGCTGCATCGAATCGATACCCATTTTATGCAAAAATATGAACTTTGAAATTTGACCTAATTTGACCTGACCTTGACCTGACCTTGACCTTACCTTGACCAAAACGTGACCTAAGCTGGCCCTTAAGTCTGTCTGACCCACATAAGCGCATTTGTCATGTAAAATGGACCATAAAACATGTATCACACGACGCTTTCATATTGTGACCCCCAGTGACCTGACCTCTGTGACCTGACCTGGTATCAGTGACCTCAAATAGCAAAATATGTGTTTGAAGAACATTTCACCATCGATTATTTTCAATGAAATGCATTTTACACGATTTTACAACGCATTTCTTGAAATGCCTGTAAACGGTGAAAATTCGACCTTTGACCTGACCTGTGACGTCATCGGTTTGACCGAGGTCAATGAAATTGGGTCACAAGGTAGTTCCCCGTTGGGGCTATCCAACACCGTTTACCGCTTGTCGCTATGTTGCGCGGTTCTCGAGATCTGAGGGGGGGGGGCAAAATGGCCCCCCCCATCAGACCGCGTTGCTCGGCAGACCCCATCTGGGCGCGGGTTAAATCAAAATTACCGTCCGTTTGCCGCCCAAACGCCGTTGACAAAGAAAGTGGTCGAGCGCGGATGCGCAGTGGTGTCGGCAACGCCATATGTTGCATATATGTTGAAAATAAAGCCATGTTTCATCTGACCCCGTGTTTCAACTGGCCCCGCTCTCCCCTAATGGCTGTTGATAACCATTGCCGAAGTGTGTGCACGAACCCTCTTCTCATTTATATTGAGTCATTTTACAGGAGTGTCTCTGTCATTCAAAGATATTACACCAAAAGCACATAGGCTAACCAACCACTCTTTTGCTGGAGGGCCGTACATGTGAAAAGGCATACCTACCCCTACTTAGCATAAAGAAGACGGCACACAAGTGCAATGCAATCTTTTATTGGTAAATGAAGAAAGATGATCATCATATGATAAATGTCAGGCTCAGATATCACGATAGCTTGGTTCATTAGTCGATAGCGTATTTCACAAGCCACCAGGGCATTTCCGAGCTACCAAGTCATAATACAAGCGTTGGGTTATACGCATCAGGCCCCTGAAACTACCCTGTTCCCGTCAGTTTTATCAAATATGCGGTGATCAGTGCTGATCCCACTGCCGACCGCTGCGAGCAGCCTCTTCCGACGCCGTCCGATGGTGACCGCCTCTGTTGACTCTCCTCCTGGCCCCTCACTCTCTGCGGACGGCGCAGAGCGGCACACGGCCTCCCTCCGGGCTCACCAGGAACGCCTTCTTATCCAGCGGCATCGGGTGTGGCGGCGTCTGCGGCGTCGGCTTCAGCGTCAGCTCCCGCAGCATAGTGACCAGCGCCACCTTGGCCTCGAACAGCGCGAACCGCATGGCGATGCAATTGCGCGGCCCGCTGCCGAACGGCAGGTAGGAGCACGGGTGGCGCTTCTCTTTCTCCTCGGGCAGGAAGCGGTCCGGGTCGAACCGCAGTGGGTCCGGGTAGTACTCCGGGTCCCGGTGGATGGGAAGCACGGGTATCGCTAGGAGCGTGCCTACGTCGATGACCAGGTCCGAGCCGGGCAGCGTGTACTTCTTGGTGCAGACGCGCTCGGTGCGCGGCGCCGGCGAGTAGAGACGCAGCGTCTCCGAGATCACCCGGTCCAGGTACGGCATGTCCATGACGGCCTCGTAGGTGAGGCCGCCGTGACGCTCGACGGCGTCGTCGACCTCCTGCTGGACACGCTGCTGGATCTCCTGGTCCAGCGCCAGGCAGTAGGCGGCGAACGTTAGTAGCGTGGCGGTGGTTTCGTAGCCGGCGAACAGAAACAGGATCGACTGCGCCACGATGCTGCTGTCCGAAAGGATCCGCTTGCCATCCTTGTCCTTGGTGTCCATCAGCAGCTGGAGGAAGTCGCGGGTGGAGCTGGGGTTCTTCTCGCGATGACTTATCGTCTTCAAGACTGCGCTTCGGAAAAACTCGCCAGCCTTGTCAACGGGCGTGGGGATCAGGGCGGCGAGCTTTGCTGAGACACCCTGGACAATGAATTGAAGCATAGATAGTGGATCGAAGTCACTCAGACTTGCCGACATGGCCGCAAACTTGCTATTTGGGTCGGTGAAAGAGTTGCAGTTGATCCCAAAAGCGCTAGCTGCAATATTGTCCATCGTGAATTTCCCGAAGGCTTCTTTGATCTCAACCTCACCCTTGTCTACTTGCTGAGCGTTAATGTACTTCAGCAGATTCTGAGCGTTATCCAGTGTCAGCTGATACATCGCCTTTAGTTTGCTAGCTGAGAAGGTTGGAGACATCACGGAACGTGTTTCCTTCCACTTGGCGCCCTTAAGAATGATCAGCATCTCTTTGAAAAGATCATTTCCGAGCTGGTCGCGCTGATCGGTAAAGTGGTCGAAGTCTTTGATAGTGATGGCTTTAATCATCTCCAGATCTCCCACGAAAAGCACCGGCTTTCTGAGCTCAAAGTAGCCACAATACTTCTTTCCTCCGTGCTTGTGATAGAGCCAGCTGTCGAATTCACCCACCTTCGTGAACGGCGGTCCGAACTCGTTTCCCCAGGGCAGACATGGTCGCGGTCCAGGCACACCGCGCGACTTCCAATAGTCAAAGTTCTTGGTCAGCATATAGTAAACAAACGCGACGATAAGGACTATTACCGTCAGCGGGAGCGGCGAGCAGAGCCAGCGGAGCGCCGCCAGCGGCGCCGTCAGCAGACCCTCCAACATGGCGCGCTCTGTCACACCGTGACCTCTTCATTGCTCGGGGTTACATGAGCAGAGTTAATACGCATTACAAACGGACTACAATGGTGAGCGAATAGGAAAATCCGTTCCTGATACGCATTTACTTGCTCATGTAACCCCGGTAACTGTCACCGGCGGTCCTCGGGGGAGTCAGCGCGCACTCAGTGGGGGGAGGTGTCGCTCCACCGCACCTCTGGATCTGTGTGTCGTTGCAGCTGTCGGGCGGAGGTCCCGTCCGCTGCGCTCTCCCGGTGCGACTGCAGCCGCCGCCGCCGCCCATCTCCGTCAGCGCTGACCTTGGACGTCCCCATCGCGCCGGGCTGTAACGCCCACTGACCCTGGGGTGCCATATTGGCGAGACAATCTGCTGAGTCACGTCTCGGTCTCTACGACATGGCCACAGGCGGAGTCAGTGGGCGTCTGGGATCCTAAATAGCTAAAAGGTGTCTACTTGACCTTTGCTCTAAGAAATAAATTTTACAACCTTAAAACTGCATATAATGTCGAATTTCCCAGATCCCGCTACCAGCAACATATTTGCTACCGGTGCGTTCAACTATTGGGCACGATTCTATTCACCACCTTGACCTGGTCACGGCTGGATCCGCTGGTAGGCAAGGAAGAAGTTTATGCCTGCCTGGCCCGTCGCTTATCCCCGCCCGCTCATAGCGAGATTGAACTTGAATGAGGGCTGTAAACAGATAAGCAGATTCCGTGCTAAGTGTGCTGCGGAACTCGCTGCACCGATAGTTTCGATAGCGCTAATGCTATACCTATAGGACGCTTATGACTCCCGTACAGGGGGGGGGGGGTGGAACGGACCCCCTCGGTTTTTCGCGAATAACTCGCGTAAAAAGCGGCCGATCGCGACGAAACTTTCAGTACCATCGAGGGTAAACAAGGGCTTAAAGCCCTTGTTACACTGCCGAATTTGGTACACGAATGTGCACGAATATGCAAGTCATCCTATGTTGCGAACCGATTCGGGATCTTTCTTCCACGGTCTTGGCATTTCGCAGACCAGTCGGTGCCCACCGCGCGACTTTTACGGTTCGTCACGACCGCCACGAATATTTCATGAAAAATGAAAATTTCGTCGCCGTTCGCCGAACTTATGATAAACGAACATGATCGCCAAACACTCGCCGAGTCACCGCCGACATGTCGCTACGTGCGCCGACTTGTTGCCAAGGTATCGCCGACTATTCGCAACAAATTCGCCATTCATTCGCGATGTTCGCCGAATCATGGATCGGCTTCGACCCGCGCACGATTAGGGGGGCCCCCTTCCGTTGCCTGCAAATCGGGCTCTGTCGGCGAACTGTTCGCCTCTGTCGGTGAACGGTTCGCCGATTTCCTACACGACGTGATTCGGCGACAGGGTCGAGGCCAAATTTCGGCAGTGTAACACGGCCTAAGAGAGATCAAGGTAGATACCGGCTACGAGTATTGTTCTCATTTTCGAGAAAAGAATATGAAACATGGCACCGGCCCATATCACCCGGACCCATACCTCCCGGTGTATTTTGATGAATCGAAAAAACGCATTATTTATTGAAAGTTATCTCGAGATAAAATAGTTGATCCCAGATGCCTAATATCAGGCACATCTAGCAGGCGAAAGGCAATTTCACGTACACAGAGTGAAAAACCGGGTCTAGTCACTGCCCACTGGAAGAAAATTGCCTTTTCCGAAAACCGGCCCATACCTCTCGGGTCTCCCCTACCTACGTCTTGGGGTAAGTTTGGGGAAAAATGGATTTCTGTGCAGTTCGTAGGTACCTACTAGCCTAGGTAGGCATACTGAATACCGAATTAAATTTTTACTTCAGATGGTTCAAACGCAAAAGTTTAAAAATGACGTTGGGCCGCTTTTGTTGTAGCTCGTTTAATTCTACACCTGTTTCTGTTAACCCGCGCCTCGCTGGGCTATTTAGCCCGCGCGCCCTGCTGGGGGGAAGGGGGGCAGATTCTGCCCCCTGTCAAACTTCCGAATCGATGGTCGTAGAAAGATGGGAAAACGGCAATCGGAACACTCAACAAGGCAGATCTTAAGAGCTGATTTTTTTGCTTTAGTAGGTCAGAGGTCAGGTCAAGGTCAGGTCAAGTGTACAAAATGCAAGTTTCTGCAGTATCGGCCTTGCACCGTGGTTGCCAACGAATGGACTGGGACTGAGTGCCCAAAACGTGTTCTTGGCTACCAAGACAATATTCGTTGCATACAATATCATGCAAAGGTCAAGGTCAAGGTCAGGTAAAGTCACCAAAAACGAAATATAGAAAAGGCCATGTGCGCACGTATTTTATGGGTCATTTTATTCATAGAATTCAATAGGCATACTCAATAAGTGATATGGACCACATCTGGATGAATTTCAGGTTGAGGCCAGTTCAAGGTCAGGTCAACTGAGGTCAAATTTTGAAGTTGGTTGTTAACCCGCGCAGGGCCGGTGCTCCGCGACTTCCGCGCCGGGCCGGGGGAGGGGGGTTTCTGAACACCCCCCTGTCTAACGTGGCTCCTGGGCCACGTATAGCGACACGCGATAAGCGGTATTCGAAAGAGCGTCAAAAATCATGACGGAAACACCTCAGTCATTTTTCGGGTCAGGTCAAAGGTCAGGTCGCCAGAGGTCATCGAAGGTCAAATGTACAGGCCATTTCAACAATTTTGGGAACTGCCAACGGCTAACTCGGGAACCAATAGAGCTACAGCGCCTCGAAAAAGCGCTTTCGATAGCCCTTTTACAGGCCTTTCTGCGTATTGTCCTAAGATTTGACCTCAGGCCAACGGTTTAGCCTCCAGAGAGCAAAAAACTGTAAAAATAGCCCTTTGCACCAAAAACAGCTTTTCGGCAATAGGTTTTGATTCAAGCAAGCCACGACATTACTTTTGACAGCATCGTGTTCCTCTCGTCGAGACGCGTCGAATGGACTATTCGCTGACCTTGAAAGGTCATTTTTAAAATTTGACCTCAGGTCAAGGTCATGACCTGACCGGAAAGGGTCATGTTGCATATCAGTCGATCCGCATCATCGAGCTGAATACATCTGACGTGTTTTCATCGCTCTAGCACGTCTCTATCAAAAGTTAGAGCCAAAAAACTGCTGGTGACCGTTTGTGACCTGAGATGACCTCAGGGGCACACAGAGGGGTCACAGGTGCATTTTTCCGATTCAGTGTGTCATGTTTACTCATGAACCGATGTTTGAGAGGGTTTTGAACACCATTCGTCCACAAGAGGCGCATTTCAATTTTCTCCCATTGACTTAGGTACCTATAGGTAGGGTATGGTGCCTAATTAGCGACCCCCTTAATTTGAACCGCCATTGCTCACGCTCTGTGGGTGCCACTGTATTACTGGCTTGATTTTCGGAGAGATCGTTCATTTTTCTATTAAAATATAGTCATTTTCTGCCCCAATATTCACTAACTTATTTGTAGTGAGCATTTTGGCAAACCATTGCAAAAAACGCTAATAGGGAACGCTTCCCGATTAGCGACCGGGGAGGGTCGCTAATAAGTCTATGGGTTTCCCCATATTAAAAATGGCAAAAAATGCGACGCCTGAAAAGATGAAATGTTATCTCAAAAAGGTAACCTATACGCAAAGCACTCAATCACTCGAACAGGAACGGTTATCCAACACATTTACGTAAGTAAAAACTGATCAAGTGATGCACCGAAGGCGAAAAGAAGGCGGAAACCCAAATTTTGCGGGCTATCTCGTATGATATTCGAGGTCCGCGCTGAATTCGGCACCCCTGCAGTCCGTGACAACATTTGACATCCCCTGCCACACATTGCTAGCTTCAGCAACACCTCATTTTCATTTCTCACTTTTCCCCTTTCTTTTCCTTCTTGAGCTATTTGCGACCATGTCAGGCGCAAATAGGAAATATGAGTTGCGACACATTTTTAACCGCCATGCTGTGCACAGTTAAGCGATTCACTATGGTAAAACGCAATCAATTGAAAAAGGAATGTCGATTCAGAATAAAAAAGATGCATCATGATAATGTGCATCGCTTTTCATCAGAGAGGGCCCAAACACACACGTTTTGGATAAGAAACTCGTCATTTTTATTTAAACTCACCTGAAACGTCCCACCAGAAACATCGACAACCGTAAAATAATTTAATTTGATAACCAAAGTATGGCTGACCTTTTGACGATGTTTTTACCCCGTTTTCTCCTGCCAGTTTTTCTGTAAGGAGGTAGGTCGCAAATCGGAAAGGGTCGCTAATTAGGCACCTTACCCTAATGGAGAGGTCGCAAAATTGACGTGACCTTAGGTCACCGATATCAAAATTCCGAGATAAATATTTTGTACATACTGTTATTCTTATCAATCGCTAGAAGTTTGAAGGCGATCGTTCAGAATTTTGGATTTTTTTATGATTTTCCCCCAAAAGTCAGTTTTTTTAAAAAATAAAAATAGGTATTGGGCTCAAATCGAAAATTAAAAAAAAAACAGGATGGCAATTTGATAGACAAAGTAGAATAACGTATAACTTTTTGTTACGTCTTGATTCCTTTAAAAATGAAGATGTTAGCGGTGTTTGAAATTTTGCCGTTTTTTTTAGGCGAAAATGGCGGACATGACGTCACTTAAACGTCATTTTCTCAAAAATTTTGTGACGGATTTCGCTCAATTTTTCAGGGAACGTGTTACATTAATAAATGATACGGTAGGTACTGAAAGTTTGACGTCGCTGGCGTAACGTGTTTAGAAGTTATTGGCGAAAAACGGGAGGGGGACAGCTTCTGCCCCCTCATTATACGCATTACGCATTTTAGTAAAAATTTCATAAATAGGTATAGATCTTTCAAATCCATTTTCAGTACGTTTTTGACATCGCACAGCTGACAGCAATATAAATAGCACCATCGTGTTTCTGAGCTCAAATTACATCTGATAAGCCCCTTTTTTAAAATGTAAATTTCATGTTCAAGATTTGACCTTTTTTACCTGAAAGTGCCCTGACCTCAGGCAAATTCAGCTGAAATTGACCTCAAATGACACAGACGACATTGTTTTCGAAATCTTTGAGTAAAATGGACCATAAAACATGCGTCACGTGACCAATACATGATATAAAGTTTCCGTGACCTAGGATAACCTGGCTTTGACCCTAAACATTCAAAGTACAAGGTCGGTACCCTCAGAGTATCTAAGGCATATATCAAGGAGTACGTAAACAAAAGCCGGAGGCCAGAGCCTAAATTGTGGACAAGCCAAAATGCTAATAGTTTTTACTTTTGCCTGACCTGTGACGTCATCGGAGACCCAGAGGTCAATAAAATTAGGT